TGGCCGGCACAGTGACATCGGAGCGGAGACGTCAGGGGTGGGCCAGGGAAGAGGAGGGCACCGGACGATGACGTGGGAGGCAGGGAGTTTAAAAGGGGGAAGGAACCCCAGGAAGGGAAGGAGTAAGGAGAGAGACAGGGGCGGAAGCGGGAGCAGGAGCAGAAGCAGGAGCAGCGGGTTGGGAGTAGGAAGCAGCCCAGTGGCCGGCACAGTGACATCGGAGCGGAGACGTCAGGGGTGGGCCAGGGAAGAGGAGGGCACCGGACGATGACGTGGGAGGCAGGGAGTTTAAAAGGGGGAAGGAACCCCAGGAAGGGAAGGAGTAAGGAGAGAGACAGGGGCGGAAGCGGGAGCAGGAGCAGAAGCAGGAGCAGCGGGTTGGGAGTAGGAAGCAGCCCAGGGCAGGGGCTGGAGTGGCCCAGCGAGCCGGAGGGTTTCGGGGTTAGATTCCCCCACTGGCTGAGCAGGTCTGGTAGGACCTGCTCTTAGGGCCCTAGGCTGGGGCCCATAAGTGAGGGCGGGCCCGGGCCCCCCTACTCCCTCCCTTGGCTGAGACCCCACGGCTGAGCACCGAGGGCGTGGCTGCTGCAAACGTGAGCAGGCCACACGACCGAGCGGCGTGATCCGCCATCTAGGACCCCGACGTGTGGGGCGAGAGGGTGGACCTTCACTGTCGTAGACTGGATTTTAGGGGGTCCACCCCAACAACTGGATCTTGGGGGGTCCGCATCCCAACATTTGGTTATACAATTATCTCAGACGCATAGACTTCACGGCCATGTGTATGATAGTCTAGTCTGATTTTCTGCACATTGCTGGACAGAAAACCTCTCCACCCACTTTGGCTGAGGCAATGTCCACACTAAATGGAAGATTGCCACTGCCACGATCAATCTCCCGGAGTTCGATTTAGTGAGTCTAGTTAAGACCCATTAAATTGAATTCAGAGGGCACTTGCTGGTTCTCCTGCTTGTGCAAGGAGTAAGGGAAGCCAACAGGAGCAAACGCTGTGGGGACGGCGGGGAAACCCGAAACAAGGTATGTCAGCTCCAGCTAATTAACGTAGCTGAGCTGCGTATCTTGCTTCAAGGCCCCCTTTTAGTGTAGGCCTGGCCTGAGTTACTGAAATCCTCGAACCGGGATTTAAAGACTTCAAGCTACACAGGATCCACCATTGACGTTAATTCAAACCAGGAAGTGAGCCATGCCAAATGCTGCAGAGAAAGGGTGAAACACCACTTTCTTTCCCCTCCCCCCAATCTGACCTGGGGGGAAATTCCTTCCCAATTCCAAATATGGCAATCAATGTAACCCCTAGGCATGTGGGCAAGGCCCACCAGCCAGATACTACAGAGAATTTTTTCTGAGGCAACTCCGCATTTCCAGCTGCCGCACATATTTCCTGTAGCAATCCTGGATGAGCCATACGCCATCATAGGTGCTCTCATCATCATTCCCGCCCGACCATAAACTTATCAAGCTCAGTCTTAAAACAAGTTCATTCTCTCCCTCCCTTTCCCGCCCTCCCTCCTTCTCTCTTCCTTTCTGCCTCCACTACTCCCCTTGCAAAGCGGTTCCAGAATTCCCCTCCTCCGATGGTTGTGTTGTCCCATGGAGATTCAATATTTCCCCCAACTCTCTGATTAGTCTTTGTCCAGAGCCTTTTGTGACTGGACATGCAGTGTTGGGAAGGAAACACTAACAGTAATGAGAGGGGTGCCTGTTGCCCTTTCACTCCAGTTCCACCGTTCTCCATTTTACACTTCTTCTCTGCTGGCTGCCTGCCCTGGATTTATTTAAATAGCTGACATTTCTCTGAAGAAACGCAGGGGCGAAGTGTTATTGCTTTCGCCGAGCACAATGAACCAGAGCGAAACGGCGCATCCAGGCTCCAGCAGCTCGTTTGGAACCACTACAAAAAGAACGACTTGAATGGCAGTCATGCCGGAGAAACAATTGGTGTTGTAAGATGTGTTCTGGGTGGTATCAGCCCCTCAGCAACTCCGGCAGGAAAAGCAGCTATTCGCTGTGACAAACTCTGATCAAATCCAAACTCTCATTATCTTTGCTTGTTCCTCCCTCTGACCCCTTCCAAAGAGAAAGTTATGAATTGCCCTAGGGCCTAGCAGAAGCTTTCTGCTTCACACAAACCCTCCGCAGCTGGTTGCTGGGCTCCGGAGAGCCTGCTTGCTGCAAAGCATGGGAATGTGTGTCCCAGGCACTGACTCTGGGTTTTGCCACAGGGTGCTTTTCATGGGTGTTGGATCTGCAGGACCCCCAGTTGCAGAGGGAGGGAACAGTTTTTGTGGTATGTCCCATGCAGGTTTTGGGCTGGCTGCAGAGGTGGTATGTGCCATTCAGATGCCAGGGTTCATCAGGAAGCCCCCTGGACTCCAGAGAGCTTACTGAGGAAGCTAGGAAGTTAAGTGGCAAAGATCACGTCGTCAGCTGCTTCGGAACCTGCATGGGGCATATCCATAGCATTGGGGAGAGATGCTTTTCCCTGGGGCAAGAGGGAAGAAAGGAAAGGCACCACATTGCTGGGGCTGCCCTGGGGTTCCTCCAGGCAGAGTGGCGGAGAGGGGAAGGAGAGGCTCAGGGCACCTCTAGGTAAGGGGAAGGCAAAGGGAGGAGCCAGGGGCTAACCTCCCCACAGGGGGGCTGCACCCTGCTGTTCATGGTGCTTTCTGCCTTCTGTCTTACTGGGCACCATATACGGGCTCCTGCCACCTACTGGTGACTCATGGGTGCAGAGTATCCTGCCCCCCTTTTTTTTCCCCTGTGGGTGCTTTAGCCCCAGAGCACCCACAGAGACAGCACTTGTGGCTAGAGCCCAACACACGCGTCTTAGCAAAGTTATCGAGCTGAACTGCACTTTCTCTCCTGCTGCTGCTGTCTACAAGATAGACACTTGCTGCTTTTCATGAAGATGGGTTTTCTGGGCTACCCTAGGCGAAAGGCACAAAGCAATTTCCTATT